CTGCAGAGATGGATTGTTAGTTAATATTTTAGTGTATAGTATATGCTAGTTATAACTGAATGTAATCAAGGCAGCACAACTTGCAAATCTTGCATAAGTTACCACAAATGTGTCCCGTGAACATGTCAGGGTACGTATGACAGAAGTCTGCAGCGGCTGAGGGTGGACATGTGGAGTCATTCTCCAAAGAGACAGTAATGATAGTGAGAGTTGAAGTATAGTCCCTCAACATTTGGAATAATCCTGTGTGGAAATTAATCATGAAAAATAATGGGATTCCATAAAAGAGAGGCAATCTAATCCAGGCTCAGCAGCTGCAGCCTCTCCACCAGAGAGCATCATCCTTGTATCTTGGATACAAGATGTTTGGGTTAGTATGACATTTCATCATCAATAATGCTGCTGGCTAAACCCACCCTTTGTAGCTGCTTTAGGTCAGGTTAGTCAATTGGTCAGGGCATAGGAGCTGAACAAATTAAGTATCCAGTACCTACATTTCTTACATCCCATGTCAATTTAAATCAGGACTCAACATGTACAAAATATTGTTGCCTTTGGGTAACTTATATATAATACATATATATAGTTCTTGTCTCATTTTTAGCTGCGACCAGCTCTTTAACTGGCTCTGTCTGCTGGTTTTCATCCTAAGAGTCTGAGTTTGCTAAGGGGTAAAGGTTGTGTCTGAGAATGGGTGGATGCATGTGCATGGAAACAGCTTTAAAAACAGTTTGTGCTGGTTTCTTCACTGATGCATTTTTTGTTTGTAATTTCCCTGCCACATGGTATTGAAGCATTTTACCTTCTAATCAAGCAAATAATAAATCTATTGTGTGTAAGGAGTAATTACACTGCTTCTTAGTTCAATAGAGATAATGAGACTATTCCTTACCTGAGGAAACAATCAGAAAATCCATGGATGCAAAATGAGAAATGAACCCACACACGAATGATGGGAAGGCATCACAATGGATTTGAGTAAATTAGCGCATCACCCGACAATTTCCAGCAATCTAATAAACCCTTCCAAAACAATCAGAGTGTGAGTGCCCGTTGTAAAGAATTATGCAAATACTAATAGAATAGAAGGCCCTCGGGCAGGGTGGGGGTCACAATGGAGAACATGAGCCTCATATTGTGACTGCTGCTTCTGTCATTACTGATTCAACAGCAAACCACAAACAAGCTCCTCTCTGCTCCAAACCAAAACCAAAACCCATTTCAAAGGATCATTTCACTCCCATCAGAAGTGTGGGAGCACTTCTGTTTACAGCCTGCTCTGTCAAATGGGACTGCTTCATTGGAGTGCCCGCCAATTAAAGTTAATTCTTTGCTACAGTGCAACGGCATATAAGACCATAGAGTTTTCCAGACTGGTGTTAGCTGTTTGTCGCTTTGCTATTTCAAAGCAGAGCATGGCAGGCATCGTCTTGGTCTTACATATGGAGTTAGTAGCGCCGTTGTATAACAGTATGTTTATTTTTTTTGTGACCACATTTTTATTGTTTTTCTAGTCGCCCTCACAAATATATAATATATATATATATATACAATAGGGTGGTCTTTAAAATTGAAAGTCGGAAAGTCTAAGCTCCAACCCCCATAATTCATTCTATTAGTCAAGAAAACTCTCCTGGTGAATTTCTTCCTCAATCTGACAACATTTACCCCTCCCTCATCAACCTTGAAGTTTAGCCTCAGTTGCAGCACCGTGGCTGCTGGTGTGGCAGCCCAGGTCGATGAGGGAGGGGTAAACGTGACCCATGTCACTGAACCGTTTTCATTGCACACACCATGTGTACCATGCAGTCTGTCTGGGGCTGAGAGCCACAGACTGGGCGGGAAGAGACAGGCTCTTACATTTTGTGTTGGCAGTAAGAAAAGTGGGTACCACTTTACAATAAGACTACCCTTATAAAGGGTTTATGAATAGTTTGTAATTCATTTATTAATTAGGTTGTGAACACTTTATAAATCATTAATAAGCTTTTATAAGACATGAGATAAACAGGGCAACTGTGAGCGGTTGCTTGCCAAATAGTGAGCCCACATTTATCTGTACTGCTAAGCCTTATATTGGCTACCTAGTAAAGTGTGAAACACATCACCATCTATTGATGAGTCACTAACATTTATAACTACTGAAAGGGTGCATTGTTTTTAAGTTTAATACACATGTCCATTCACGCTGACCTAATACACATTTTTCACATGAAATGCAAAGTACAATGCAACAGAACCAAGCAAAACATGTTATTCACACATGAAGACAATTGGGACTCAAAGTAATGACTGTTTAGTATGACTGATACACATATTTAAACATAAAAGCTTTTCTCAGACATAAATGGTAAGACATAATGGCACTCAGACTGGAAAGGCTTTGTGTATATCCTTGAACAAGCGTCCAAGCAGTCCATCAGGGTGAGCAGAGCCAAGCCAAGATGACCATTCAAGAACCTTGAGGTGTTCCTTCAACTAACTCTCTGTACGGTTTCCTCTCAGTCTACGGACATGTCCTTTGACGGTCGACCAAGCTCTTTCATTATGTTGGGTATGACTGCCAGTCTGGGGGTTCACCAACCACCTGCTGTGGTTTATGGTGTAGTGGTTGTACCCCATGTTACTCAGCACTCTCTGTATGCCCTCCACTCATCACTCATAATGCTACTTCCTGACTTAACATGCCGTCTAATTAGAGGGACAATGTGGCATCTTGATCGTTTCTCCACTAGTTTCAACACTAGTCTCTGCCTTTTGTCTTTAACTCCCATCATTCTGAAGACCCATTTCTTCCTTCTCCAGGTATGTCCAAAGCGTCCACGTGCATACAAACAAAAAATAAATCATAACATCATCTTAGTTAACAACAAAATGCACACAAATTACAGTAAAAATTGCTGCACATCATGTTTCAAAATGCCATAGTTGTGTTATTTGTAATATACACACATCTTATTGTGAGGTTGATTTTACATACACTACGCCACTCTTCAACACTACTTTGACGTTAGCTTGTCTACATAATCGACCATAGCACATTTAAAGTGTGAGGCACGCCTCCCTGGGGGGCGCCAGAGAGCTTCAGGGGAGGCGCAGCGTGAGAAAAAAAGAACAAGAAAAAGACGAGTAAAGTGTCACTTGCACACTTTTGGCTGTCTGTGGAGACCGAGTTCCCCCACCTCACCAAAAAGGCTGTAAAAGTGCTCATTCCCTTCACCTCCACCCAGGGATAGACTGGCCATCTGTGTGTTCTGGAGAATCACAGAACGGCCGGCTCGGTTCGCTGACGGCCGGCACCACCCTTTATTTTTTATGTTTTGAAACGGCATCATTTAAGTTGCGCTGACAGGCGACAGAGGTCCGTTCAGCGGGCCGTTTACAAGTAGCGAGGCCCCCCCCCCCCCCCCCCCCCGTTGACAGTTCACTAGCGTGCTCTACCAATTTCTGTGGGCTGGGCTGGGTGAGATTCCAGGGCTGATTGATTTTTAGTCCCAGTCCAACCCTGCCTCCACCTACCTGTGTGAGTGCAGGTTTTCTGCATTGACTTTGATCAAAAGCAAGTGCTGGTCAAGGCTGCAGCCAGAGGATGATCTGCGTTTATTCCTGTCTACATTGCATCCCTGCATCACCCGCCTGTGCGCATCAAAGACGCAGACTCATTGTTCATGTAAAACAGAAAGATAAAAAGGTTTAAAAAATGTATTGTTTAAAGTTTTAAGGAGGTGACGCTACTCAGCCAATCAAATTGGTGCAGTCAGTGAGTCAGCACGATAGATTGAAACACACACAGAGACGAGACAAGAAGAGAGAAACAGCAGTGAATAATTTCAAATGGCGTGCTCAAAAAAGAGAAAGGAAGACAGCGAAAACAGAGCATTTAAATACATTTTCTCTTACTGGACCTCTTTGAAATGCAAATGAATACCCCTGCATTATAGCAACAACAACAATTACACTTTACAAGGCTCCCTTTTGGCAGTTATAAATGTTAGTAACTCATAAACAAATGGTCATAAAGAGATGCCAAGAAACATCAAGGTGGAAGGGGGGAATCAACTCAGTGAACAACAGATACCAAGGATGCTGGCTGATAAAGAAGACAAAGTAAGCTAGGTAGCCAATATAAGGCTTACGGCCCGTCCACACAGCAGCTTTGAACAAATCTTGAAAATCTTGGAGCTGGGCGTGTCTGACAGCTTGGGGATTTTTTGCGAGCAACACGACCAACAACCAATCACATGAATCTCCCGCCCCCGACATACAAAGCAAAAAAAAACGGGGATTTTATGCGAGCAATATATATATATAAACTCCCCAAACAGGCGAAAACCTACCAGTTTCACCCACTGTCTCTGGCACCTCCCTCCATGCCTGGCTCCTCCGGTTTGTATCCCGGTAAATAGTCTGGTCGTATAGAACCAGGTGATTTGCTACCGTAATTTCTCGTTTGGAATATGAGGAAATGAACTGCGGTCTGGTTCTCCCTGCTTACACGCGGTTTGATTGGCTAGAGCTTCTACTGTCAGATTTGCATAAACGGGTTTGATTGGCTGACGCTTCCAGATCAGCTTCAAAAGTTGAACATTGCTCAACTTTTGAATCCTGAACATCCTGGAAATCCTCGCTTCGCTCCCCCACAATGCAGTTCGGCGACAAGCGAGGCAAATTGACGTCATCCCCATTCAAAGTCAATGGGCAGAGAAGCGTTGGAAGCGGTGGAAGAATCGTCTAGCTGCTGTGTGGACGGGCCGTTAGTCATCTTGCCAAATAGTGAGCCTGTATTGATGTATGTTATGTTATAACTGGTTTATCCTGGTTCTTAATGATTAATAAAGTGTTTACAACCTAATTAATAAACTAATTATAAACCCTTTATGAATCCTTTATAAGGGTAGTCATATTGTAAAGTGGCACCGAAAAGTGTATACACTAGAATTGTTCTTTAACTACAACAGCACAACAATATTACTCTCCATTCGTCTTCTCTGTTTGTTTAGGCCAACGATGCCTCGGGGAACACGTGGAACTGGCTGTACTTCATCCCCCTCATCATCATCGGATCCTTCTTCATGCTCAACCTGGTGTTAGGTGTGCTTTCAGGGTGAGTACAAACTGTGAGGATGACCTGAGGGAAGTATTTCAAGAGATGCATTTTTACTTTACCCCCAGACCTCTTTGGTTATGGCTGCATTTGCGTGACATAAGATAAAGTGGGGAAACTTTTGCATACAAGTACCAAACCATATGCCAGAACAGCTGTGATAAACTCAGCCAACACTATGAAGCTTGTCACATACTCCTATCACTGCAGCATATTAAAACTAATCAGACCATATGCTTAAAAACAAGTCATTTCTGTTTTATTTGAAAAATAAACTATAGAAAGTAATACTTTCAATATGCCGTTTGTACATTATTTAAAAAATATCTAATTTCTGATATGAGGCCAACTACCAACATTACCCTCATGGTTTCAGAAATATGTTATGTTCTATTGAAATATTCCAGTTGACAGATGATAAAGAGTTCTGGTGGGAAGAGACGGTCTACTCTTGAAATACCTCTGAATTCAAACTAATTGAAAGATTGAACTATATCTTTATAAAGATAATTATTTGATGTAATATTTAAACAAATAAACACTGTGTTTAACTTGGTATAGCTCAACATCTATGAGAGGTTAAAGGTATGAAGGGTGTGAGCTGGTGTTAGTTAATTTGAATCAAATGTGCTGTTCCTCTACATCAGGGGTGCCCAACCTTTTTTGAACCGAGAGCTACTTTTAAAGTTGCCAGTCTGCCGAGATCTACCAGTCCAAATAGAGAGGCGTAGCCATTACTGACAGCCTACTACCAGGTAAATACACACTTCTACTTGTATAAAACTGACCTTTGTACGATTAATACTTCATAAAATACTGCAGATCCTTTATCTTACCTCTTTCTAATCTACACGTATTTAACTGAAGTTACACAACAGTGTTGTTGATACAGAGTTGAGTTTATTCACACGTCACTACAGTGGGTAATGTTTTCAAGAAACATTGAACAGTGCTGCCACATATGACACAGGAAGAAAGAAAATACACTGAACCCTTTCTTTGCCATTATTTAAAAATAGTGTTGCTACAAAAGTATACATTAGGCTTACTAATAAGACAACTCAGATCTGAAGCTACACAGGAATCTGCTGCCAAAGTGCAATAAAAAAGACAACATTAATAGAATCAAACCCTTTTTTGTTGCATTTTAGTAGATTATAAAAAGAAATGCCTTTAAAATAGGATGCAAGCAACACTAGTTTCTTAACCTCAATTGATAAAAGACTATAATCAATTTAAGTTTGCATTCTTATACCATTTTGTAGAATAATTATAATGAATAAGTTCAAACAAACCAAAACTCACAGCTGATTAATAACGGTATCTAACTTGAGTTTTTAAATATCAAAAACCTGTTGAAATGCTGCTGTTATTTTTACTGTCCCCCAAAAAGCGCGTCTGCAGCCTCCAGGAATGACTTCTTTCACAACTTCGCCATCTTTGAAAGACTTCATGTGATAAGCAAGAACGTGACTGACACGATAAGATGCTATGGTAGCAGCCTTGCTCTTGATGTTGGGCCTGGTGAAAATGGACTGCTGTGCATTTAGCTGTCCTTTCAGGCCCCTCCCCTTTTGGAGCGTAGGGCAGAATTAGGAGGGAATTCCGTCTCGTAGCGTTTGTGCACTGTTTTGAAATGCCGCTCCTAAATGACCCTTCTTCGATAAAGCCACGCTCGCATTGTAGATGAGACAGATGGACTTTGAATTGGAATAGATACACAAATAATCATCCTTCCACTCGGAGTGAAAATTATATATTTTGGGCTTATTTTGCTTCTGCCGTAATTGCGGTCTTGTGTGTGTGCGGACTGTCACTCCTGTTGACACGGACAACGTCAGCTAACTCACGCCGGCCAATCACAAAGCTTTGATGCGTTCAAGTGCATTATTCTGGCACAGGAAGATTATGTTATAGGACATTAACGATAAAACAGAATATTGTTGTTCTATTTTTAGACACATCTCGCGATCGACTGGGAATCTCCCCGCGATCGACCGGTCGATCGCGATCGACTGGTTGGGCACCCCTGCTATACATGCTGTTACAGCAGCAGCACAGTGATAAGAACTGTTCACTCTCCCTTTCCAACATCTCACCACTATGGCGTTTCTGTTATACTGCACACTCTTCTTCTGAGCTAATTAAAATGTTGGATGAACACAGCGTTTTATTAATGTTCGCTCTTCTGTTAATGATAAGGATATTTCTTTAAAAGAAGAGGTGGTCTCTGCCCTTGCTGATTTGTGTTATGTCTCCCTGCTGGCGTGAAATCTTCTTTTTTAAGTAAAGGTGAGATGAACTGTCGCTAAAAAACAAGGCCTTGGTATTTTGTGGACACTCTTTTCTTTTTTTGTTAACTTAATTACTGCAGCTGCCTGCAGGATGGAATAATGAGCCTCAGCTTTTGTTGTTCACTTGATTCTGACAGCAATGAATTGGGTGCCGTTGGGAAGGTAGTTTGATGACTAGAGGGAACAAACTGCTGAGTCAGCTGAACAAAGACGTTAGTATATTTGTCTCACATTGCATTCATTTTTGTGTCTTCAATGTCGTCAAAGATATGATTAAGGTTGTCTATTTTCATGAGTAACTGTAGATAATGCTTTGTAGAATGAAAACTAGTGAACATTTTGAGTATTAGCAAATCATTATCTTCATATGGCTAGTTAAAAGAAGCCAGCTATATATTTTTACATTTAAGCTTTATCATCAATATTGAGATGTATTTTCAAGACACATGACTGCAGTTATCCTTGATCTCAGACTCAGGCTTCTGAAAAGAAACAAACACTCAGACAAAACATTTCTTCTTTACACATTTCCATCAATTTCCATCCCATAACAACACAAAACGGACCATTTGTCCCTCATTTCACTCCTTCCTCTTCCGTTTAATTCCGTGTTTTAATGTGTGTTTTTTTTAGTGGTTTTAATGTTTTTGCACAATTGGATACTACACAAACATAACAGATAAAAGACAAAGAGTGCAGGAAGAGGCAAAAAACCCATTGGGCTTATTGAAAGACTCTACCTAAATAATGTTTAAAATCACAATTTTACATAAAGCTCAAGATCAATATATCAACAATACTGAAATTCAATAAAACTGGTAAACTTAAGAACAACATATACTATACTTAAAATGTTAACAAAATAACGCTATGAATACCAGACATTTTACAGTGGTCAAATTATAATTGAATGTATTTTTTAAAGCAATGCAGCAAGGTAGATTAATAGTGTTCCACAAGGCTTACTCCCACCCTTCACACTTTTAATATTTAGTCTAGATATTATAACTGACAGCCCTCACAACAGCATCTGTATTGAGCGCTTCCCCTGATGGAACTGGATCATCATGAACAGACATACTGTCCAGTACACAATGAATAGCCAAGTACCCTTATGTTGAAACTGTGTTGATTATGTTGGTATTCTAGGACATTACCACATTTTAATTATTCTTTGCTCTCTGTCTATATTCAATTATTTATCTTTACAGGTGGAATGTGTAGTTTTGAGTTAACAGTCATTAGATTATTTTAAAAATTACTTCCCTATCTTACGTTATGCTCGGTTTGCTCTGCTTTGAAGGTTCAGCTTTGCAGACAATTACAAGTCCTTGCTTTTACAAAAATATTGTGATGACATTGTGATGAAATTGCGGTAGACACTTGTCATTAGGGTCAATTTACACACAGGGCATATTTGTGTGTAGTACTGTATTTATATTGCGAGCACTATCTGTTTCTACAGTGGTGACTCAATCTGCTATCTCTCTGTGAAACTTCAGGAAATTGGAGCATGGTTCGGCTCTCCTCTGTTTTCAGCACAGCTAAAGAACAGGTGCAGAACATTATTCACCAGGTGTGGTTCTGCTGCAGGTAGTGGAGGTTCTTACTGATGTCCAGAGCTCTCCATTCTGTGTATTACACTGTACACTGCATGCAACTCATGGTAAACATCCTCAATGGTATTATGGGAGGAAGTTGGGTCAAACTTGGTAATGTTAAAAAATGCGTTGCATTGTTTTACGTGTTAAGGTTTCCAAATGAATGGCTAGCATTATGTGCTAACATTGACAACGCCTATATTCATCCATATATAAAATCACACAAAAAAGGTTTGAAGAAGTTTCTAGATTGTACATTTAACTTCCCCTTAGTATAAAACATATAACTCACTACCATAATACCAATACCCCCCCCCCCTGCGTATATAATCTGTGCCATTGCCTGGTCAGTGCCAGTTCGTCGTGTCTGTTGAAGAGGAAGCTTTCCAACGGAATCCCTATAGTGTAAGGCATAGTTGTAGCAGTTTGCTGTTTTGTCCACCAACTTAGTTGGTTGTTTTTTTCGTTGTTTCAACAGTCTTTCTCTTTGTACTAATACTGTACAAAGAGGAAAAAGCCTGTGAGGGCAGGAAGCCTTTTGCCCTCCCTCTGTGGCTACCTTGTCCTCTCTGCTTACTGTCCTCTTCAGTGAAGGTTTCAGATGGCTTTACAGTTACGGGGAGGTGGAAGGTCACTGATGCTGTCTGGCAGAGGTATGCGGGGGTTATGTCATTGTTTAAAGGCCACAATCTGAGCCTCAGAGCAGGCAGGAGAGCAGAGACATGCAACACAACCCCAGGGAGACAGGCCCCTCCCTCAGCTCTGATCCCATCAGCGTGGGCAGGCTGGGAGAAGAAGCGGTGTGATCAAAGTTGAACCCACAAGCTTCTATTGTGAAAACTCACCAACACGTTAGCTATGACCACTTTTTGAGGTGGGACGTATTGGTTTATTGTTGATAGGAAACTACCATCTTTATAATATCATTATCAAGCTCCAAGATATAGGAATAAAATACGATAAGGTAAGATAGAACTTTATTGATACGGACGGGAAACTTGTGAAGCAGTTTGAATTACAAAGTCGGAAGAGTTGCAGCGATAGTAGTAAAAGTGAGTATATGATGTGCAGATACAAACTAAATTGATACAATAAGATCAATAGG